TGCATGGTATAGCTCATGGCTTCACTGAGTTACGCAAGCCCCTTCGCCATGACAAGGCAGTAATCCATGAAGGGGCCTATTGGATACCACTCCACAGAATTGGTGGTACACTCATACTGTCGAGAAAATTTGATAGCTAAAAATATATGCAACTTTTGTATCAGGATTAGCAGTTAATGAGTTTCTGGAATGGGAGACTTTTTCATCTTCTACAGTAAAAACAGAAAGAGGCTTGTGAAACCTTAAAGTCAAACAACATTATCATACATGGAAGTTTATGTGGTGATAAATAAATTTGAAGTGATGAGAGCCTGTTTGATGTAGAGGTTAAAGGCACTAGGCTAGAAACTGAGAGATTGTGAGCTGGGTGACTCTGGGCCAGTCACATTCTCTCAGCCCTAGAAAGAAGCTAATGGCAAACGATTTTTAATAAAGTTGCCAAGAAAACTGCATGGTCATGTCCATGCAGCTGACAGTTTTGTATCATCTAATGATAGCACAGCCCACTCCAGCCCACATTCTTCTCTACTAGGTTTTGTCGGAGACTTTGTTAAATGTATTGCTGAAGTGTACCATGTCTACCACGTCCCTTGGTTAACTAAACTGATATTTTATCAGGAGGAGACCAGGTTGGCTTGGCATGACTTGTCCTGACAAGCAATACTTTTTCCCTACATGGTTACAAACCTGACTACTTAATAATTCATTCCAAAGTTTTGGATAAAACCAGTCTATAATCATATCATAACTTTAACGTTGTGTATTGCTGGTTGAGAGAAAACAACAGGTTGACAGGTAGGAAAGCAGGGATAGGAATCAATAGAAATACAGCTTAAATTCATAATCATATTACAGTATCGTCAGCATTTATAAAAGCACCCTCTCATGTCAGGGAGAAAGGAAAGGAAATCCCACTTGGTTCAATTGGATTTACTCTCTGGTAAGAAGATACAGGGCTGTAATCTGAATTTCCTTTTGTAATCTTGTTAACAGTGAAAGAAATGGTCCATATCTCACAACACTGCCCTCTGCTGAATGGAATCAGAAATGTTAAATTATATTATGAACATTTGATATTGGGAACTGAGGGCTGTCTGCCCTAAAGCAAGAGAGTTCACATTCTGTTTTGTTCTAATCAAGATCTCCTCATATTCTGTTTTTTCTGTTTCCACATCTAGTACCTATTTAGTTATTGTCAGCTGTCTTTTCTCATTACTTGTATTATGGACCATTTCTGCAGCACTTCAAAATTATTCTTTTATTTTCTGTATAGTTGTCATATAAGAAATTTGTAAAGGAAAGTATTTTGGAGATGTAGTCTATGAAAAAAGAGCCAGCTCAGTTAATATTAAACATCTTTTGGTACAGCTGATGCAACAACCAGAAAATGCCATATACTTAAGGCTCCATGCAAAGGCGATGCCATCTGTATTTGACAACCCACACAATCCATGGACAGCAACTGATGGCCGTCACCACTGGCCTGGGTCCTTATCTTGCAATAATCTGGTTGCCCAAACCTAGGTCTTATCAGAGACACAGGGGTGATTTTCAATGGCAAGTAGGTCAGCCTTCCCTCATGCTGGTACTGCCAGGTGGCTCAAGCAATAACTCCGCTGGCCTAGGAATTCAGGGACCTGAGGTCTCCATTTCTGGAGGGCGTTCTGTTTGGAGAAAGCTGCATCAGACCTAAGGAGCATTCAGTACGTTCTACGAAATGGTAAGAGGGTGTTTTTTGCCAATACTGTATTATTACATGAAGGAATGATATACCGCTTTGTTAGTGGTACCAGATTGCATGACTTACTATCGTGAGATACCAAATACACTGTGGCTTTTGTACTGAATTTTACAGGGAGCTCTTTGCTTTCTGGGTGCAAGACGGGGGTGGTAATTTTCATCTGAGGTCTCAGCATTTCCTTTCTTTACTGTCCCCCTATCTCCACCCTCCCAAAGAATGGGTGTATATCTCAGGTTAATGTTTCATGTATTTCCCGAAGTCAGCTGCAATCCACAGTACCTGATTAGGCAATAAATGCTTTGGTCTTTTGGATGCCACAAGCCTCTTTCATGCAATACACTAGCCATGGTTTGTTGAACATTGGCCTGGTTTGAACAACACACTAAGCTACAAAGTAGCAAATCATATTATGGTTGAGTGCAACGTCTAAAAGTGTCTTTACTATTTTGGCTGCAAGACATTAAGACCGTTACCCATCTGGAAACAGTTGGGAAGTTATGTGGGCCAAGGTAAGAGCACTAGACCACGTCAAAATTCCATTCTGTTCAAGTTGTATGAACTTGCAATGCGCTTTTGGCCTTGACTTTAATTCAGTTAGTTTGTCGAGTTATTTCTTCATATTTTAGCCTCCTGCTGCCGAGTCTTTCCTTTTCACCTAATAGCTACTCTTTTACCAGCCGAGTTCCCGGCGGCTCGAGACGGCGTTCTTCGACGTGAATTCCGACCACTATTACGGAGCATCGCTTTTATAACTGGACCGTCACGTGTTTCGTCAGGCGCTGCTTCAGTCTTAGGGCAGGTCCCTTAAACAAGAAGTTGCGGAGGGGAGACGACTTCGAATTCTCATCCAATACAGGCTTGAACTGCACTTAACATCAGGCCAATGCCAAAGACCCGCCCGCTGGCCGGGTGGTGATGGCAGGGGGCGGGGGGTTCTCCTGGGGTCCAACCTCCTCCTCCTCTCAGAAATTGGAAGGCTCCGGAGTCGTGGCTCACATTTCCACTAATCCTCCTCAGGAGACGGGATTTGAGCGCGTGCCTCCGGAGCGAAGCAAGCTGGTCTCGCGGAGCAGCGGGAAAGCTGCGGGCGGCCTCGGTCCGCGACGTTCCTCAGGAGTCAGGCAGCGCCCCGTCGGGGCCTTCCGTTTGGCGCCCGGGCGAGTCTGTGCGGCTCCCCGGACGCGCGTTTTATGGCGCTAGGACCCAGGCAGAGCGGAGCGAGTTCCGAATGAGGCTACGGCGACCGTGTGAAAGTGAATGGCTGGGGTGCGTCGGGAAAGTGGCCACGGAGCAAGGCGCGCTAGGATCCCGGGCGGCCTGGGCAACGGCGCCTCCAGCAGCAGCGGCAGCCCCTAGGGGGTCTCTCTCCACCTGCCCGCGGCCGCAGCGCTGAGGTAAGTGGGCTTGCAAGCGTTGCGAGGGAGAAGGTCGGGGGCCCGGGCACCCTGGCGGAAGCAGCGGACCACAGAGTTTCTCCTAGGCTCTAGGGCTGAAAACCTTCGCGCTCACGCTAGTGGGCACCAGCAAACTCTGAACCTGCCATTCCAAGCAGCCAGTTCCGTCGGCTGCCACTGATTGTATCCAGCATTTTGGTGGAAGATCTTGTCTCTGCGAGCAGGAAAGTCCACCTCCTGTAACATCTCCAGGCAGACATCTGGACTTGGACTCGGCGGCGCGCGTTTCGTTGGGTAGCAGTTCTGCGCTAAACCCTTTTAGGGGCCTTACTCTTTTCAATCGGGGCAAGCTCTCCTCTCGTGCTTTCTACTTTTTAGTCACCAGATAGACACTAGTCGGATTACATTTCTGCAGTCAGGTTCTCTCCTTCCCTCCCCCGCCCCCCCCTCCCCAAACTCTCTGCTGACTGCCTAGCAAAAAGGATGGAAAGTGAGGGCGCTGCTGGCTGATTTATGTTTGATGATCAAGCTGTATTTTTAGAAGAGAACGCCAGACAGGGAGCAAAGAGGTGTGATCAGTAGAGAGAAGTTTCTCTGTTTTTGTAGCTTGTTGGAAGTTTATGGGGGGGGGGAGGTTTCCCTCCCAAAGGATGTATAAAATGAAGGACAAGAATATCCACTGGAAAGGAGGAAAGCCACCATATGAAGGTCTGTAGGAGATCATTGAGAGCTGAGCATGGCTATTGACATAACAGGGGCCACTGAAACTAAGTCAGAGGATGGAAAGGTTACAGGATGGAATAGAAATGAAACAATACTGTTTCTGTTGCCCTTTCTGTTGTACTCTGTTAATTTTGATGCTGCAGTTGGCTTAGAAGTTTCACAAATAAGATGTCTTAACTGTACTGAAAAGAAAGAAAAATGGTGGATCATAAAATATTATAGCTATTCCCCACCATTTATCATTATCTGGGTGGTAATATCAAAAGTGTTGTTGATCCGTGAACAATTTATTATAAAGCACACATAAATGCAATATTGTGAATAAGACAAGATCATAATTTTTGTCCTCATTGTTAAAACTACAATAAGAAGAGCAGTATAAATTATTACTGTCCCTGGGTGTGACCCATTCCATGGCCTCTGAAGATCCACTGTTTGCTTTATTTTTACTGTAACTAATTTATGGCTTATATTGACTAAAACTTGGTCATGTCAGTAGCCATTCTCACCTCCTATTATTCCCTATGGATTTTTGGATAGTTTTTAATGTTTCCAGTGGACATCCTGTTTCCTTGTCTAGTCTGAAATTTGCACAAATAATTTAATTTATAAATAGCTGTATGCTTGCTTGCCAGTCTGGTTTTTCCAAACTGTCACTGCTTGGAAGCTTGTAAACTGTATTAGCTAAGCTGCCGTGGTTTTTTAACCTGAAGCATCATGTGGCCTCATATGTTAGTCCATCTGAGAACGTAACTACACCTGAAGTCCTGGTTGTTAAAATGCGCTAAGATTATTTCTAAAGTCCTTGCGAGAGCTTCATATTTGTTGATAACTTAAAGTTGCCTTGTTCTTATGATATCTTCAGTGTAGGACTGTTTGGCATAACTAAATAACATATGTTATGTTAACATTCTGTGGCTTTACATGGAGCTTTGCTGTATAGTTTAAAAGAAAATGAGACGCATGTCATTAGGATCCACAGAACTCTTCTTGAAAAAGAGCTTACAGACCCCTTATCTCACTTTCGTGACAGAAGGATGATCGTGAGCAAAAGGCAAGTTATTTGGATCTGGTCTTAATGTTAGATGTCTAAATCATTGCTAAAAGATCTGGGGAACATCTGGAAACATTGTTGAGCAATACAGTCCCTTTCAAAGGACTATGTGGAATTGGGATAATGATTGTTCAAAACCTGAGAAATGCAGGGAACGTGCCCTAAAGGGACAGCACTGTTTCATAGGAGAAATTTTGGTGATTCCACTGTTTTGTGCTTTCACCAAGTTATTATATGACTACAAGTAGTAACTCTAACTTGAAAAAAGTAATTCATTTTATTTGCTTTAATCTGTTAGACAGTGTAGCTTCTGTATGAATAGAAAATATGTGATTAAATTGTTGATGAAATGGAACTCATATGTTGATCTTGAATGTATATTAGTTGTATTGTTTAGATTTCACTCAAAATTATGTATGTTTCAAGGTTCATCTTCTGAACCTAATATATACTTCTGTAAGTCCTAGAAAAGAGATACATTTATTACAACTAAATCATTTAATCTTGTTTGCCTTCTGGCCATGCTGTAATCACTAAACATTTTTGTCTAGCAATCAAAAACTAACATGCGTAGAAAGAATTCAAAACAGCCTTGATCATATAATGTCAGCCCAATCTTGGGAAATGTAACCCTCGGATATTATCTTTTTTTAAAAAAAAATGATGTCCTTGTCTACTTTGTTGTTACAGCAATGGTGACCTCTACTGGCAATTTCCATCTAACCCCATATATGTCCTGTGTAAGTAATCTGATAAATGTTTCAGGAACAATTCATCTTTAATTAATTCCATTTAAGTAGGTATTAAGTAAATCAATCAAATACTAAATTCCATTTAAATTAATGGGGTTTGTGTTGCCCAAGATATACATGGTATCATGCTGCTAAAAAAATTGAAATAAGCCAAAAGTAGATTACTGAAACAAGCCAAAATTAGATTACCTCTGTAGGTGTGTTTTTTGCATATGTATCGAGTTGTAAACCAGACTGTGAATAGGACCTAATTTTTAATTATATCCTCCACCAGGAGCCCTTGTGATTCTTCTTCATGGTAAAGGAGTAATTATAATAATAAAACAAAGTGTCAGGGAGAAAACTCCATGTGAATATCTCATTGTTCAGATGAAAATATTTTACTTTTGTTATAGGTTAATTTTTTTAAAAAATCATGTTCTAGAATTAATTTCACAAAATGGTCATTGACAGATTTTATGAATAAATAAATAAATAAATCACTGGTAGAAGCAGGAGGAATATCTAAGCTTTGTGCTTTATTTTTTAGCTTTGCATTACTATAAGGAGACAAATCAATGGAGTTGCAGGAAATTAAAAGAAAATGAGAAATTATTCCCAAAATACCCTGAGAATTTCCATTAATATTGCTTGCTAAATGTACCCATATTTTGGTTTTAACCTCCTGAACAAGTAAAACTTGAGTCAAAATAGACAACATGTACGATTGTAAATGATGGTTGATGCAAGCAATAAATAGCCAAATAGCAAGAACTTTAGCAATATCAGTAAACTAGAGCTTAGGAGATATATACCCACGTGCACATGCACACATCTGTTGATCAAAATTAGATTTCTGCCAAGGAAACAGCCATTCTGTTGGCTCAGAATGGAGGGCTACATCTGATAAAAGCTGCTGTTTTTAGAGCATAAGCAAGCTATTTGTTAATAGAAAATAGCCAAATTGTGCTGTGATATTTAGTATTCATCTAAGAAAAATACTCTAAAGATTTGTTTAAATTACAGCTTTTACAATATATAAATGTTCATTCAGAACTAGTTGGGAGAAAAGTGAGGGGAAGTAAAAAAAAAAAAAGCCATTTCAGTCAGTTTCAGTGTGAGTGACTACTCAGTTGGATGTATCACTAGTCCAACTTTCTGAAATCATCTTTCTGGCTTCTCTTTTCTGTGTAGCAAGGCCTCTTTTTGGCCCTTTCACTGTGGCATATGTGACCCTCAGTTGGAACCAAATATCATTTGCTCTCTGTCTAAGATCACTGCAGAATGCTTAGTCTGTCACTTCCAAAAGAATGGTTAAAGTTGAATTGTTAAAATTATAAAATTCTGAAATCCCTCCTTCTTAACTGATATCAATGTATTATATTTAGTGTGCCATGATCAATATTTACTATGGTTGTGTCTTATTTGTAAGGGTCTTTTGAATAGGGATGGGGAAATTTTATTTGCTTCTCACTTTAATGCAAACATATCCAGTGTGCACTTCCCAAACTGATACATGGAGATGGGAAATAGTTATCTCTATGTTTTGAAGTTTGTGATGCAGTTTGCTGTTCAAAAACTGTACAAAATGTGTATATATTAATGGAAAGTATGGTTAAAAAAACATTGTATTAGGAAGAATAGCTTGCAAAAATGTTTATATTAAAATATATACAAAGACACATTAGGAGAAATATACAAGGTTATATGATCTCTTTTAAAAATCACAAACTGATATGGAAATGGGATAGAATGAACTTAAAGCTGTAAGAATGAGAAATGGACAGATTCAGCCATGTTTACTGAGGAATTATAGGTGATCCTAGTCTATCATTTTCAACCATAACTATAAATCATGAATTGAGACCCATGGCCTTCATGTTATGATTCCAAACTCAGCTAATTACAAAACCATCTTGCACAAGAAAGAGGTCTCTAGAAAGTATCAGAGAGAAGTAAGAATATCATGGCTAGACTGGGTATTCTCCACTATTTTTGTACTTGTCCCACTTACTACATTTTTTAACCACATCTATCATGCAGTCTCCAACAGATAATTCCTTTTTGAATTATACAGCTTTTAAGAGAAAAAGTTGGTCAACCCTGTTTTATTGGTCTCTTCTGAGTTCCCCAAAGAACCTCCCTGTGATGAAGAAGTCATGGATGGTAATTTTAGCCCACATTGGAAATTAGAAGAGGGAGCATATTTTAATAAATAAAATATGTAAATTTTATTATTTTTAATAAAAAACACTGTTCTATCAGACATCATTTAAAATCATTAGTATAAATCACTGAGCCATGTTTCAAATTTTGCTTTACCTTTGTTTTAGAATTCCTAACTTTTAAGCTACCCCCATTTTTTTCCTTTTAGTAATAATGCAAATGTTACCATACAGATCTTTGTGAAGTCACCATCTCATTTAAACCAGGCCTGTAGTGTACACACAACTTACCATCTCTAAATCACATGTATTTTTAATATGAGCTAC